TGCACAACTTATGTTATAGTTCAACTTATCGGATGTCCTAGTCTCCAGGATATAAATCTACGTAATCCAGAACAAACTCCTAAACTTAAAAATAAAAAATAAAAAATAAAATCCCACATTAGCTAGATAAATTATAAAAGAGAAAATGAAGCAAACTACTGAAGTTTGCTCAGGTCATAACGCTGGTGAACCAATACAAGTTTGCTACCAAATCCTGTATCCCGTATTGTAGTAATTAAAAATAATTAAAATGGTTGGAGCTTCCTAACAATTGGACCAAGGCAACTTATACAATGCATGGTAACACAAGTAACCATATCTGCATTTAGATATAAGAAATTAACGAATCTAACCCCGATTGAAGGCAGTGATGTAGCAGTTTTTGAAGGAAACCCGAAACCTTTTTTCTCAATAGGAGCCTTCTTATAATCACCCCAAATAACGGGTACCAAAAGAACACCGCGGTTAACAAGTTCAGTTCGAAATCTCTCAGCTCTCTGAATAGCTCTAGACACAGTCTCCTTACTTCCTGCCAAAATAACCTAAATATATCGCTTAGTTAAGAACTAGTGCTTAACCTGGACGGCAATAAGATATAGAAAAGGGTAACAAAATGTGATACTGACTGGTCTAGCTGTGTCTCTGAGCTGCACGAGTTCAATGATCCTGTTGGTTGAAAGCCGCAAAGGCAATCTTGAAAGAGTTTCATCCCGGGATATTTGAGCAAGCTGCTCCTCTTCTTTTCTGTTGTCCCAAATAAACAGTGCCACAAGAACAATGATGCCTACATAGTGCTGATTCAAAAGCTTGATCAATTCAAGAACAAATAGATAGCATCAATGAGTTCGTATGAAAAGCAACTATAATTAAATTATTTACTTGATAACTTCAACTAGATGCTTCGATATCAACTTAACCATTTAACTAGTGACAGCAAACTCAAGCTTATGGTTGTGGCTGATTATCTACGTCAAGGATGCCTTAACAGTTACCTCGATAATAGCATTTCTAAGGAATGTGCATGATATTTCATGAATTCTATTGTATAGTACTACGAGAGGATGCATGGTATGGAAAAAGTTAGCATCTCATTACAACCACCAGAAACTGAACTCGCTAAGATAATTTAAATAGAATTTGACAAAGTAACCTTAAATCTTGATTCATTTATCCTCTTCTACTAAAATTTTCGGGCTATTACACTTAAATACCTGAAAGCTTACTCCATTTTTAATAGACACCCCAAAGTTTTCTTTTCCCCAAAAGAAAACCCCAGAGTACACCTCATTTTTAACTTTGGTACCCCCGAAGCTTTTTTTTCCAAAAAGATAAGTCAAAGTTCAACAAAGTACAACTTTGGTACCCCAAAATTTTCACAAAAAATTAACTTTAATGCCCCAAACTTTAACAAAAAATTAAGTTCAGTGCATCTAAGTTAAATTTTTTTTGAAATCTGGGATATTTCTCGGGCCAAAAAAACGGGTACCAAAGTTAAAAATGAGGTAAAGTTTGGGGTATTTAAGAAAATAACCCTAACTGTTTTCCTTAAATTTGCACTTTGACAGCAAACACATGCACTTAATGGTTGGCATATTTCAAGTACAATTCCCATTTACCTCCAATATTGATGGCAGCATTTCCGGCGGTCGCCAAAATATCAGGAGCACCCTCACCACCTTGGACAGCACTTATTAATCTCGGAATGGTGAA